CGGGTCTGTCAGCGCCCGCTAGACTAGGGAGGATGCTCGGGGCGTGGGCGGCCGCTCTCCTCTGGGAACGCAGTCTCCGGTGGGACACCGAGAGGGCAGAAGTGGATAGGAGCAGCGACGTGGGTGTGGTTTGGACTCCGGTTCCCGCAGCCTCCGCTGCTGCTCAGGAGGCTGCCCGCCGCCGCTTCACCTCACGCCGCCGAGGATTCCGCACTGAGGCTGAAGCGCAGGGGAGGGCCAGAGACATTCCGCGCTCACCCTCTCGGGGGCGGGAGGACGCCCGCGTCCTCCCTCCTTCCCCTGCTACGATTGGCTCAGATTCTCGACCTCTCTCCTGATTGGTGACTGGAGCAGTCAAATTTCTCTCCGCGCAGGGTGCGCGGAGAGCCGGGGTGGAGATTGGCAGGGGGCGGGGAGAGGAACCGAACTGACGTGTGAGGCGTGGGAGCCAGGAGGGGCTCTAGCTTAGCCGCTTCCCTCTCGCTTCGCCAACCGCGAGGCTGCCCTAGTTGGAAACTGGGGAGTCAGGGGTCTCGTCACTTACGAAGCGGATTGGCTCCTGGACTCTGGGGCCTCGAACTGTCGGGGAGACTGACCGGCAAGAGCCCCTGCAGCCGAGTGGCCAGGAGCCAGTCGGATTGGCCGGAGCTGGCGTCTGGCCGAGCCGTCGGAGCTTGGCTGGTCCAAGCTTGCAGCTGGCCCGGGCTATCCGGTGAGGACGTGAGGAGACACCTCTGAGGGCCGCGGTCCAGGAAAGGCAGCCCCAGACGAGCCTCGTCTCTCTCCCAAATGTTACATTTACTTGAAACTTTCCATAGTTGGCCACTCCCCAGATGTGAAGTGTTTTGGAAAAAATGAGCAAAATCCTTTCAGCTATGCGACTTAGCCATTTGGAAGGTTGGAGATCGGGGGAGGGCGAAGAGCGAGAGAAATTCCAGAATACGACTGCTTTCCTTTTTAAAAATTATTTTTTTAATGTACACTGGTATCTCAAAAATATTTTTGAACAGCAAGGATTCCCTTGACACTAGTTTGCTGGAAAGCATAATTGTAGATACTTTTGTATTTTAAAAGCTGCTTCATCATTTTAAAATAGAAGCATCTGACTGCTGGTTCTCTAAATCGTTTCAGCCTAGTATCTGTTGTTTATCCTATTTGGTCTGTGGGAAAAGAGCCAAGGATCTGATAAACTCTTGAGTTTTTCTCTGATCCTACCTATGCACTTCACGACAAAAGGTTTTTAGACTGTTTCTTGAAACAATTAGGTTTAAATGCATAGATCCACAAAAGTTAATGGGGATGATTTTTATGAACCAGGAAGGGTGTGCGTCAGGTACATTAACTAGGTGCATTAGTAATCTAATGAATCTAAAAATATTGCACTAGATTAATAGGAAATCTGTACCCTACAGGCTATTGTGACCTTTGGCATGTCAGAGTCTTGCTCATGTTTAAATTTTTTCTATCTGCTCTTTAACCGGAAGAACCTGGAAAAGGCTATCATGTGTAAATCGGTTAAGTATCGCCTTAAAAAAAAAAAGTTCAGACAATTGCAAATTATTTAGAGGGCTTTTATTACTACTTAACATTACCTGTCACTAAAATTTGAAGAGTCAAAGTAATAATATACAGTATTCAGGAAAAGGAACATCAACTTTTGGAGTAGAGGTAACGAATATCAGCCCTGCCTAACCTTTCCAGTGACTTGTCAATGACATAAACCTGAATATTGTGTGACCTCTTAGATATAACTGGTTATCAGTTTTGACTGTTTCCTTTCTCTCCACTTCCAAGCTATTGACATCCAGTTCTTATTTTCCTCCTAGCTTTTCTCTTAGCTTCTCTAATTTTCCTATGAAAATTCTTTGTAAATTTCTTTCATTTTTTAAAGGCTTAAATGCTTTATAGTATACTTAACAAGTATGGAAAGCAAACCTAGTAATATATTATTTTCTAGAGTTTCTGCTTCCATGCATGAGCTAGTAAAAATGGACACGTTAGTCCTAACATTTAGAAGGACTTAGAGTCTGATGCAATTTAACCCTTTCTTTGTGAAAACCATGAAAAAGTTATAGACAGCAAATTAAAAGTACTATAAATAGAATTAAAGTTTGAGTCATTCATACTTTAATTTGATTCCTTTCTTCATCATATATAATATTTTTTAATCTTCAGTTAATGTTTCTTTAATCAAATACAACTGACCTACCATGAATTGGAGTTAATTACTATTTCCATTAGATTAATTATTTACTTGTTAAATTATATCATCATGTAAAACAAAATCTGTCCCTATAAAAACATTTTATACACATACAACAGTCCACTAAAATAACTACAAATAGATAATCTCCAGATTAATAGGTGGCTGGATTGTCAGAGCTACTCTTAGACTCCTCTTTGCTAGTAGATAAGTGCGGCTATCCCACAAAAGGTTGTAGTCCCGTAGCCATTAAGCAGATATGAACCATCCAAAGGAAAAATTGGAATTTATGCATTTTGTTTCTGTTCTAACTAGAAGAACAATCTAACTAGAGTTCCTGTGTTCTTTTGAAGATTAAAAAAGGCTAATGTTTCAAGATCATAATGTAACATATGTATAAGTTCCAGATTTTGCCTTTCACCAGAACCAAAAGGTTATTATTTGTTGACCTAAAGCTAAGTGGAAAGTAATTCTCCTTTGCCTAATAGCTTAAAAGAATTGACTCACTATTTTGTTTGTTTGAATTTTGTTAAGAGAATAGAGTAAGATTCAGGAAACCTCTAAACAGCTTCTGCTACTACTTCCCTTTCTTCTGTTTGTTTCCTGCTTTAACTGGCCAGCTTCCTAGTCTTGCTGATAAACCCTGTCAAACATGACTTACTATTCCAAAGTTGAATTTAGATATGTATTAAAGTTATTATGGATCCCTCATGTATAAAATGGGGATAATATTAGTATCTTATCTCACAGGGTTGTGAGGATTAAATGAATATATATATATATATATATATATATATATATATATATATATATATAGCACTGAGAACAATGCCAGTAGCATTCTATAAGTGTTAGCTATAAATATTATTATTCCATAAGTGAATAAATTTTGTTGCACATGATTGTCACATTTGTTATTAAAAAGCCAAACAGAGTTCTTTTAAACCATCTAATTGTAAAATATCATTTAAGAAGACGCTGGCTCCCCAAAATGAGATCATTTGCTTTATTTTTAGAAAATAAACCAATAATTTCCAAGGTATCTTTGGACTGCTGCAAAGACAGTAAGATTAAGTAAAGCTGGATTCAGTGCCCATGG